TAGACAATTTTAATGCTGAGAAAACCTTTGCAGGTGTTTTGCATTAATTAGCTGACTAGATTGGGACACAGGGGGCCTACAATGTTGAACTTTGTCATGATATTCTAATTTTGTGAAATACTGGATTTGGGGTTTTTTTTGTCTTTAATCCATAATCATCAAAATTGAAACAAATAAAGGCTTGAAATATTTCACTTTGTATGTAGTGAACTAATATAACAAAAGTTTCACTTTTTGAAACAAATTATTGAAATAAATGGACTTTCCCTCGATATTCTAATTTTTTTGGCACATACCTGTGTATGTATATACATATATAAATATATATATATATATAAAACAACCTCCCTACTCCCTACATGGTGTGATAAGAGTAGTGCACAACATAAACAAGAGGGCATCAACTCAGGATGCAGCCTCGCTGGCTTCACTGAGCCTTGGAGGCAGTGGTAATGGTCGAGGCTTGCACAGGCACAGCAGCTGTGGTGGCTTGATGATGAGCATCAGCAGTGACCTGCAGCCCCCCCGCCCCGGCTGACACCAGGCTGACAGGGTTGCTGGTGAGCAGCGACAGGTTCTGGGGGTTCAGGAAGAGTGGTGTGGTCACCAGGTTGGGCGTGTTACCAGCAGAAGTGTTGGCGAACAGCAGGTTACCACCTTCCAGAGAAGTGATGGGGATGGTGCCGCTCGACGCCAGAGCTATAGGAGACAAAGAAGGAGAAGTAGGTGGTGGACTGAGAATGCAAGATGACGAGTTGCCAGGTTCAACCTCATGGGCATGGCCTGGATTATTTTAGCCTAATATGCAACTGCATTGTAACTGATTTTTAAATAAAGCTGTTCATCAGAATCCCATCCGTCATCACCACCTTTCAGCAGTCACAAATAGATCAAGTATTTGTTCTGTTATTGTGACATCAGTACACACCTTGAATGGTGGCCAGGGTACTGTTGCTCAAGAGCGCAGGACTCAGTGCACTGCCAAGGCTACCAGGAGCCAGACTGAGCAGGGCCCCCCTGGACACAAACACAGGTGAATGAATCATATGAATCAATACAGGAAATCTAAGCAATTTAGTGAGGTCAACAGAGGTGATAATTAGAGGACCAATTTGAACATAGCCAATACCAACCCTGTAGCGAACTGGGAGGATGCCATCAACCCTGGATTGAGCCCTGCAGCAGCAGCCATTGCAGCAAAGCTAGCGCTGGTGGGTAACTGGGCAGCACTCTGCAGCGCCGCAGACAGCCCGGGAGCTGCCACCATCACCTGACCTGTCCCTAAAGAAGTGGCTATGGATGTCGGGGCCTGGGTGACGACAGCTTGTGCCTGAGTGGCAGTCTTGCTCTCTGTGGTTGTGGACTGAATAGAAGTCGGTGGTGGGCTTAAAGATGGAGAGCTGGTTGCCGTGGTAACCATAGGTGCAGCTGAGATAACAGATGCGGTGTTTGTGGCTCCAACAGTCGTGCCTTTAGTGGAGATTGGGGCATTAGGGTACATCTGAGAAAACATTAACCTTAAATTCTATTAGTGTGTGATGTGAAACACACATTCCTAAAGACAAACACACACACACACCTGTGAAAGACAAACTGGAGACGCTGGTGCTGGTAAGAGGCATCACTGGGTTTACAGTCAGAGTGGTGGGTGTGTTAATAGTTGGACTGCTCACAAGACTGGCTGTGCTGGCCACCTGGGCAAGAGAGTAAGTGGAATGACGGAATGAGCTGCGGTGTTGCACGCATGTATGATCCTCAGATTGATACCAAATGTTTTGGTAATTTGTTATCCCTCAGAACAAATAGAATTCATATGTCATGATAAACCTCAAAATGCACGCATGTATGATCCTCAGATTGATACAGGAACAAAACAGACTCAAAATTTTCTTCACATTTAGAAAATAATCCTAAAAGAGATAAAGTGTGAGTGTTTCCATCCTTACCAAAGGGCTACTGGGGTTAAATATGGTTTTGATGGGGGTGCTGCCTCCTCCACTGCTGCCGCTGCTGGGCGGATTAATCCTCTTTTCTTTTTGCCGGCGATTGCAGAACCAGACCCGAATCACCTCCTTTTCCATGTTGAGCTGGTCAGCGATTAAGCTGATCTCTTCAGAGGTAGGTTTTTGGTTCTGCTTGAAGAGGGCAAAGAAGCCAGAGATTCCCTGTCAGCACTGAAGAGACTCATTCATTCACTACCTCCACTTCCCCTTCATACCATGATAATTTAACATACAAATACAAATTGGTAAAATGCTCAAACTTTCTGTCAGGGATGCCTGACAATAGTCACAAACCTCCATAGAAACCCCCAAACCACTGCTGCATAGTCCACTTCTCCACTGTCCATCTGTATGCTAAGAACGTTTCAAAGAATCCTGATATCTCAAAATATGACAAACCATTGCTAAATTCTCGGCTTCTTAATATTTGATCAGTGTTGTTTATTAGGGGCAGCACAGTGGTCAGCGTCGTTGCCTCACAGCAAGAAGGTTCCGGGTTTGTGACCTTTTCTGTGCGGAGTTTGCATAGGTTCTCTGCTCTGGCTTCCTCCCGTAGTCCAAAGACATGCAGCTTAGGTTGATTGGTGTCTTTAAAAATTGCCTGTAGGAGTGAGAGTGTGCGTTTTTGTTTGTCTGCGTGTCAGCCCTGTGATAGACTGGCGTCCTATCCAGGGTGTACCCCGCCTCGCGCCCGCTGTTGGCTGGGATTGGCTCCAGTCCCCCCGCGACTCCGTTTGGGACTAAGTGGTATGGATAATGGATGTTGTTTACTACAGGAATGCGAGTTTCTCACCTCCAGAAAGCTCTTTTCTAAGGCCACGCGGATGTTGGTCTCGATACTGGTCCTCTTCTTCCGTCTGCGGTTAATCCCCTCTATGCCCATGCCCGGGGAGCCTAGGGCACTTGGGCTGGACAGGGCCTGGTCAGATGTCAGGTTCTCTGCACAAACAGCACCGACACAAAGGAAGGGGAGGGAGGTAAAGACAAGGTGCTGCGAAGATAGAGTATATACCACCCAACCTTTGTCATTTCACTTGACAAAGAAGTGGAAAACACACATTACATATGCAGAATCATCACTTTATTAACACTTTATGCCATTTGCTTCTGCATCACCTTTTCAGGTGGGTTCAGGGACAAACCTGCATCATTGAGCCACTTCTCCAGCAATGGCTTGAGTTTGCACATGTTCTTAAAGCTCAGATTCAAGGCCTCAAAGCGAGAGATGGTAGTTTGGCTGAAGTCATTTCCATACAGCTTCCCCATGGCCAGGCCAACATCCCCCTATAAGAGAGAGAAACAGAAATATGAACACACCAGCAACACCATTAATTTTACCCACAGCAAAGACTCGCATGGTGTATGTGTTTGTTACTGTGTGTACTAAGAATCTGAGCATGAGTATATTCACAGATGCTCAATTACAAAATAAAATGGCATGGAACTGCAAATCTAAAATACTTGAACTCTTGAGGATATTAAATCTATTCACTCTGACACACACCTGTGTGAAGCCCAGCTTGATACGCCTCTGTTTGAAGGTCTTAGCAAACTGCTCCAGCTCTTCCAGATCACTAGGCTCTTCTAGAGTGGGAGTATCCAACCGTTTGGGTGGTGTCTGACTGTGGGGCAGGGACTGAATAGGTGTGGCTGCTGTCGTGCGGGTTGGAGTTGCAGGCTGGAGAGAATACAAATTTTTAAAATGTGACATCTATAAAAGATGTATTTGTGGTATGATTTCATTCAAACACGTACAGATGGTGAGTTGTAAGCACTGCTAGAATGACTGAAACTTGTACACAGCTGCTTGCACCATTACCAACCTGAGTTGCAAGGGTGATGCTTGGTTGAGTTGGCAGGAGGTTAGCTTGGCTTTGAGGTAGTTGAGTTAGAAGGCTCTGGGCTTGCAATATGCCTATAGAGTGAAATAGGGCATAGGAGTGAAGATTAAAAGGAAGAATTCAATAGCTGGAACACATCTCTTTTCTTAGTTCTGCATGCGACTTCAAACACCCAGCTGTTTTTCCTTACCCTGTTGGGCCTGCGGTGCCTGCGGTGAGATGATGAACTGAGCAGGCTGCAGTGGTGTGGCGATCGGGTGGCCGGGCTGAACCAGGACAAACTGAGGCAGACTGAGATTCTGCTGCTGTAACTGCTGCAAGAAAACACAATCATCACTACAATCATGTACAGGGATGAGCTGTTAATACTGTACACGGGCCTAAATTACATCTCTACAGCAGTGTGACGTGAACTAATATGACCAGGGTCCAAAAGTAACTTTCTGACTCACCGGCCAAAGTGGCTGGTAGATGAAGATAATCCACCAGCCAAGCAGGCTTTTTACCAACCAAAATTATAAACTGGCTTTTTGTGTCATACATTTGTCAGTATCTCATTAAGATGTGGTATTATGTTGAATATAAACTTAAGGAAGTTAAAGCAAAATCAGACTCAAAATTTGAATATATTGATCTGCAGTTAATTCATTAAATTTATATTTGAATTTAAAAGCAAAACAACTGAAGTCTTGAGCGCATAATTTTTCTTAACATATTTGCTATTAAATGTACTTCACTGACAAAAGTAAATCTGAGGTTTCCAAAACCTGTTAGATGATTAATCATTCTAATCAGCTTACTCTCCTCTATATTGCAATCACCCTGTTCTTTCCATGCTCCATGAAGAACCTCAATTTCTCACAGAACTTTATTTTTGCAGGTGCTTCTCCCTCCTTTTCCTCTATGGGTTTTAATTTCAAAGGTTGGCCTACTCCTTGTAAATACTGCCACATCGCTTTTAATTAGCCTGAAGGTAGCTGATAGCTGTGATTGCTAATCGATAGCAATAGTTACCCAACCCTACTCTGCCTCTGATCGACTATTGTTTGGTTACGATTAAGGTCAAAAGGTTGGTTAAGATAGGCTTGGACAAAATGTGCCGGGCTCAGAGAACCAACCAGTGGTAGAGTAGGGGCGGGGATTCATGGAGTACAGGTGTCTATGTGTGTCAAACTCCGACACAGACAGAGGACAGAAGCAGAGTAGCTGTAAATCTAAACATAGTTGAGACTCTCATAACAGTGTTTTTTTCATATAACTATTTTGGTACAAACATTTACCCGCAAGTGTGTCAAGCAGTCTTCTGCCGGGCCTGCAGTGTCTGTGAGATGAGGTCCTCGCTAATTTCACTTTAATCATACGGTACTACTAGTGACTCATCTACATTTGTATTCTCAGCTGTCACTTGGAACTACTATTCAAATAAGATGCAGTTTGTGCATAAATCCTGATGATGTGTTGAGTTATTGTAGCCCTCAAAGTTTCTTTCACTGCTAATAATTTTCACAAAAACAAATACTGATTTAACAAGTAGCTTTCTCTTTGGGTTTCTTTATCACAATGAAATGAAATGTCACATAATGGTGGTGAAAAAAAATCACATGTAAATCATTCCGCAGCCAAATTTTACAGTCAATTTCGTTCCATTCATTCCTTTTAGAAAGTTTTGAGAAAATATTTTTTAAGGATTTTCTGAAATATTCTTGCTGAAACTGTGGTGCAGGAGTGATCATGTCTTACAGAGGTGATCTGGATGGGCTGCGACAGGGGCAGCTGGGTGATGGGCGTGGCTGCAGAGGCCGAGATGCTGGCCCCAGTGGTGCTGTTCTGCTGGTTGGCCGAGTGCTGCACAGCTGCAGCAAGAAGCTGAGCTTGGGCCTGCTGGATCAACAGCTGCTGCTGTGCTGGGCTCAGGGTCAACTGAAGAGAAGGCAACAGAGAGGGAGACACAGAGGTGCACAGTGGACAAAGGAGGTTACAGGGAGACAGAGAAAAAAGTAGTGTTTAGACAAATCAGCTTTAAGTATAATCATGCGTAACTGGATGAGTTAGTGCTGTCACCATACTTGAGTTTTGACTTCGATACCCATGCAAGGTTTAATGACTGATGCATTACAAAAATGTGTGTGACATTTTTAAACAATAGTCCTGATATGTTGCCAGGCATCTGTCTACATTAAGCATCCCAACACATACACTTGATTTAATCCGTGAGTTCGGTCTGTTCTGATTGCCAGTTTGTAAACACCCTTACAAATTATCAAGTTGATTCATCATCATATACAATACATTAAGTCAAAGTAATCACACCTCATGTAAATTTATCTATTGAATTTAACTTTTCACAAAGGTATCGAAGCGGTACTAAAACTCTGGCTGTTGTTGCAATGCTAACATGAGCCCACGCAGGCAAACGGAGAGAAGACTCATGCATCTGAGCCAGGCACAAGTGCAAATGAGCATGTTTAGGTCATGTTCAAATCCACATGCACAATAAACATTCACTACTGCATAGCACAATAGCAGCATTCAACCTGGCCGTCTTAACTACAGCATGGCTTGAGGGAGAACATGGACATGAAGTGTATCATGTGGTCGACCTGAGTGTACAGACACACAGACTATGTCCAAACACGTCCCTCCATTTTCTGGTATGGAGGAATTTGAACATAGTCACAGGGATGAACAGGCAGAGAAAACACCATCAAGTCTTTCAGCCAGGGTTGACCACGTTCAGGTGTCACCCTAGATGCATGGCTACAACTGGGCTGTAACTCAGAGGAACGAGGCAACGGGCCACTTACTCCAGCAATCTGTCCCCCGGCCAACATTAGCTGGGTTTGAGGCAGTACGCTCTG